AGCAATCCTGTTCCGGGAGCGTTTCGTTATGTTGATGTGAGTGTTTTTAATTGTTCTTAACTACAGAAAGCCCCGATGACTTTGAACCAGACTGCTTGTCCGCCATTGCCCGCTTTCCTTCTTTACATCCTCTTCCTGAGGCAATCAGGAAGGAAATTTGCAACTAAAAGCCCACAGTCTTCCATGCACTGCACTGAAACATGTACTGACAATTAGGTACGTTGGGATGCAACAGCTACAGTATGAAGGCAATAGGGAGTCCGTATTAAAGTCACGGTCCGCGATCAGCTATGGAAGTTGAAAATATGGCGTCGGGAGGTTAGTGTGGTCCGCGACGAACAACCTTGTACCGGTTTCGCGGCAAAAAATTGTAAGGGAGGGGCGCTATAGCGCAATATAGGTTCAGTGACGCCTCCTTTTTTCCAGTGACTCCGCCTCCAGACTCCGCCTTCAAGGCCTGCCTTTCAGTGAAAAAGGCCTGCCTTTCAGTGAAAGCCGCAGGACGAAAAAGCATGGGAATCGTCACTTGTACGGTGGTAGAGTTGTTATCGGGGAAACAGCTGTGCGGATGGGGTGTAGCGGAAGTTGACTGGGCGCGTACAGACTGGTATCAAAATGGGGATACTATCTAGGGCAACTGGCATGATTTTTTCTGCTTTTTCTATATTTTCGAGTTACTCAGAACATTGTCGCCTATATGCAAGCACACTAATCCACAATCCGTGATGGCGCATGATCGCGGGCTCCGCCTCTAAACTTTGATTTTTCGTTTGATGGTCCGATGGCGCTCATTACTGCGAAGTTCTGAATACACTGACGGAACATACACCCTGCTTGGTCTTTCTTTGCCGCAACACCAACTCAGGCTTACCTAAAGCGCCAAAGACCACTGGCTAAGGGGTTGTAGCTATCCCACACACAATCAGGGCAGATATCGCATTAATGAAACACCACTGCTAAACTGCAACCGCGCATTCACTTTCTGAAGCGGAAGAGATACTATATTTTGAATATCACAATCACAAATTTTATACAGTAGGGGTAGTTAGTGCGCTGATTAAATCCTTCCTTATGATGAACTTGCAATTCTTGATTATCAAAACCAGATCTTAGGCTGCATTCCTGACGGCACGGGGAGAGTGGCAAAATGGCATACGACGCTCACCATATGAACCACGAGGTGCTAAATGTTGCGCAAGTAAAGGGAAAACCATCACAGACATTCAGCTGGAACCCCACCTCTGAAATCGTGGAAGTCTGCACCACAACGAAATATATCAAATCATGTCTGAGGAGATACATTTCGAGGAACCAACTACTTAAAAGAAGGCTTTAATAAGACTGCCACAAACCTTGCAGTACTTCTACCGAGCAGCTCATAGATAGCTTACAGATGAGGAGAGACTTACTATGACAACTGTGTCGCAAATTTCCTATTATGTGCAGCCATTACAAAAGGTGAATCGCAATGAGTCGTGCGAAGTACTCGGTAGTTCGGTGGTCAAAACGTAGTGGATTCGAAACCGCCCTACTTCTCCACTATTACACCTCATTGCCTTTCGAGAGGCGGGATTGACTGTTGATAAGTGAGTCCACTGTGGACGAAAATACCTCATGCCAGGAACAGCATAGACTTGCAAATGATCATACACTGCTTTCGAGTCTTAGAGAAGTGTGAACCTACAACTCCCGATGTCTTTTTGCGATTTTTTTTGGAAATCCCGTTACCTCCTTAGAAGATCCCAATCTGAATGAAATCCGTTGGATTGGATCTTCATAAATAACGAGATCCTAGTTACTGAGTCAAAGCCCTTCTGAGAAATGTCACCGAAAATTTACTTATACCGAACTGTGCAGAGCGGCTCGTACGATTGTGTTGTTTTTTCTGCTAGCTTCTGAGACTGGATAGCATGCAATAAGGCTTCATTTAGTTTATGAAAATTACATCGAATACCCTTCCGATTGCAATGATTCTGATGTACGTGATCATCTTTATCAAAATTAGACACACCAGTCATGGTGGCGGCAGAAGCGAGGTAGCCCGACTGAAGCAGGAGATCAAATATCTCGTTCAGGTAATTTCGTTTGCAATATTGGACAATAGTACGTCCATATGTACGATTCGTGTGGTAAAAAAAGAGGAAGGATTATAGTGATAGCTTAGCAAATGTAATATGAGAAGTCACTCAACTTCTTCTTCGTAACCACACTGACTTGATCTTCCCAGTTTTATAGTGAAATCATATCCTATAGTATGGTTAAACCGCAACTGTCAATGAGTAGTAACAGTGAATAGCATCCTGTATATGAATATGACTCAGGAAATCATCGGGATTAATTACGTAATAAATCTCATACAAAACAAGCAGCAGGCTGTTGCATTTACATTGCATAGTTCCAAGTATATAGACCATCGAAGATGAATGAGTAAATTGTATAATCTGTGGCTGTTTTAGACAGTATTGATAAGCCTTCTGATCGTCGTGGAAATGGTGGCCTTCATTACGGTGCCCTTCATAGGAGTAACCGGCTATGGTCAATTCTACTTGAACATTCTGTTAAATCTTATCATTATTTCCAATAACCTCATTTCTCCAATTGTTATATTTGCCTTCAATTCGGAGGTTCGACAGAGAATGCCTTGGGCTGTTCTTTATCGGAAGAATACTACTATCCATGCACCTACCACGCTGTTCTGAGAAACATGCTATTCTAGCTCAATTAAAACATTAGCATTGCATGTATTTAGCTTTCCTCAAGTCCAGAATAGGATTGCACTAGATTCTCATTCCATTTGAGGTTCGCGTCCACGCCTAGGTTGTGGATATAATGTTTGCTAACGGGTGCTCTCAGCTTTATCCGAAGTTGGTTCTGGTTTTTCAAATGTAGCTATTTTTCACTAGTGTTCGACTGGAAGGGGAGAAGAAATTTTGATTTTCTGATTTTTTTGTTCTTCCTAGTGAGTTTCTTCACCAAGAGTAGCACCGTGCATCAGAACCTAACGCGGAGCAGTTGGTGCGATAGTTGTGTGCTTCTGGAGTGTGAGTGACCCCCAATGCAGTTGAACGAATCCCCTGACTCCGTCATGTGCTGAATTGTACAGTCACCTGTGTAACCCGCTATGAATCTCTTTGAAAGCATCTCGTCAGAGTTCAAACATGTTACAGAAACTCTCTTACTTCTTTTTGTCTAGTCCTCATACGTGTAATTATTCAATGCATCATACTTATTTGATAGTTCATCTACCATTAGGCGTGATATGAAGTTGCGAGTATAGATCACGAATTAGTACGGATTTTACCTTTGACGGATTTTGCCAGATTTTGCCAATAAAATGGAGTGATTTGTTTGAGCATACAGAAACGCAGTACAGTGTGACATACCTCGTTCGAATTTAAATGATTGAGATAATAGTCCTACCAAAGCAATAATGAGCTTCATACTCACCTCTACAACAGTTTTTCACGTTTTTTTTCCTCACTGTTCGAACTTTCGTCGTGAGACCTCAGCAGCAGCACCGGAATAAACAAAAAATAGCGTTCTCACTGTATAACTGTTGTTTTGTTCAATGCCCTGAGTATCATGAGATTGTTTAGTCGAAAATGCGAGGATCCAGACATTTCTTTCACTGTTACTTCAAACCCTTTAAGAAAATCTCAGGTGCTCTCAAATTATTGTCCGGAGTGCTAGTATTAATGACAAAAAACGTTTGGAGGGTCTTTGTCTCTCTAGAGCTTCAACGTTTGACTTTTATTTTTGTAGAACACTCCCTCTTTGGCAGTACAATTGGAGCAAAAGCGATAAGATATAGTATCTGCGGTCGGGCGAAACTCCAAACACGTAAAAAATTTCAAGTAAAGACCCTTGTTATACTCATACTGAACTTCAAGAACTTCCCTTCTCTGCCAACTTCCCAAATTTTCTTAATAATCTTTTCCGCTCACAGTTGTAATCAACAAGCGACACATACTAAAGGGAGCTTGTCACAACCGTGATTTGAAAGTTCGTCGCGGATAAAATTTGGCATAAGAAGTGTGCATTGATATATCAGTATTGAAGATCTGTGAGTTGCTATGCTAGAGTGCATGACTTCTCATCTGCACAGACGACACGACGAGATCACATAGATCTGCATGCTTTTCCCTTTCATAGAGGAGGACTGCGGTCTAATCGGGAGGCTGACACCGAGACTTATCCAAGTCATGTGCTGTTTTTTTCGCATTCATTTCATAGAGTACTGTATACAAAATGCAGGCGTTGTTCATTGAGAAATTTCACGACAGCACTTTGTGAACCGGTTTTGATGCACCACCAAGGAAACACACTACATTTTTGAAGGACGGTAGATTACTCGAGCATATTGGCAGAGCTTTGTCAAGCCTTGTCATTACTTTTATATCCGACAACAACGGCTGTACTGTATCTGATTTCCATGCTTTGATCATGGTTTGGTTTGATCCTCACTTTTATCAACCCATTAATTACCCTAGAGGTGTATCTTTACAAATAGTTTGAATCCCTTCCCAGCTATCTTTCAGTGATAATTAACATGGAAAGTGCATGGAAAAAGGCTCTATTAGAACCTGTTGAACTCATAAGCCAAATGTGTCACATACTGGTTACTGAATGCGCATAGAGTTCTAAACTTATTGCAAGACTTTTAACGAAGTAGAGAGCTCGTTTGAGTCGATTTGGTCGAATTCTTCTCGATATGGTTCTGACTGTGTATAATATCTGCTCCTGAGATTTCTAATCACGAGTAATGCTTTGGAACCCTTGAAATTTTGTGGCGAGAAATTTTTTTCCTGAGCCCCCAAGGAAGAACCAAATAGAGGGATCTGTGCTTGCTTTTTTAGATGCCTTCTTCAGCGGTCATAGAGGCCTCTCTTTCAACCAGTCACTTTCAACATTAAATACGATTGACTTCAGCTGGTAAGATAGCATGGTCCATTTCACGACAGTCACACGAAATCTGCTTAAATTGAGGACGTTACTATCCGACATCGCTGTTTCAATTAACAGTTCTTTGAAGTCATTAATAACCTAGTCACACGGAAAGTTCTCCCATACAAACGAAATTAATGACTCGCTTCTTACGCACGGCATATACAGGGGGGGGGCAAAAAAAAGCCACTTTGACC